TTTGATTTAAATCCGACATATTTACAACCTTATCAAGAATCAAATCTAACACCAAACAATTGCTCTCCAAATCAAAATCATAAATAGGATAATAGCAAGTGAAATCTAAATACTTTGAGCTAAGACTGTAAATGGGTTGAATTTGGTTCAAATCAAGTAAATTCGAATCTAAATTTGGTTATCCATTTTCATATCTAATTTACTTATTTCAGATTATAGATATTTATAATAAAATTTAATCTATTGAATATTTTAATTAGATTCAAATATAAAAATTTAAATCAAATTTAAATTAAATTCACGTTAAAATCTAATAGTATTGTCCAAAGTTTCACCCCAATATTATATTAGTTACTACTAATCCAGAAGGCTTGTATATGAAAGCGGTATTATTTTGTTAACGAGTCAAAACAACTCATCCCAGCTTTTTCGCTGTTTATAGGTTTTCTATGTACTTGAACAAGGATTTAAGTGGTTAATATCCACACGTACCTAACAATTCTATGCTGACGGCTGAGGAATATATATAAAATAAATAGGACGTGGTGGATCCACCAGCCCAACTGCCAATTTATATGATTTGAAAATATGTCCTTTTCTATTATTATTTAATCAAAGGTAGATTTGATGAGCTGTTTTGGATTATTTTATACATTTGCATTATAGGTTAATCTTACGTAGATACCATGTAAATAATTGGTATTATTGGTAATGATTGGCTAGAAATAAATATCTATTTAAAAGTTTTTATACTTATATATTTATATAAAATAACTGTTGTTATTAATAGTTTTAAAAAATTAAAAGTTGGATTCTAAAATAGAAATGTATTATAATAAGAAATTGAATGTATTTATAAAATGTGTTATAAAGTTTTCAAAAATAAAGTAAAATCGATGTTATAGATATAACTTTTGTAATTTATTTTAAGAAAAGAAAAAATTTTGAAAAAAATTAAAAATTCTGAAAAATTTTATGAAATGATTTTGGAGTTAAGAAAAAATCTACTTAAAAAAATTCATAACAATTTCTATTTGATTCCAATAATATTACTCAAAACTTAATACCATTCAGCTAGTTTTATAATATACTTCTAATTGTACTTTTTTTTCTGCTACTATTTCCATACTACTATATCCTAAGACCCAGTTTAGTTGGGAAAATAGTAAAATGTAGAAATATATTTGGCAGAAAAAACAGCAACAAAAAATTGCATGTGCCTGAGTGTACTGTGTCACGAGCTCCTATCGAAACATGTTTAAACAACGTGGATGTCTCGGCATTTAAGGGCCAAAGCATGCCCGCATCAACTACCCAACTCTCCTGTAGCTTATAAATCTTCATTTCACTTTAAATAAAACAAAAAGATTAATTCACACTAATATAAATATAAAAATTTTATACTAAATTTTACATCATTAATTTGGTTAAAATTAATAGATGAAATTAATTAATATTTTTTTAAAAAAGATAACTATAAATTAGTTATTAGAAAATAGTTATAATTAATTTCATCCATTAATTTTAACTAAATTAATAGTATAAGATTCGATATAAGTGTTTTACACTTACATTAGTATCAATTAATCCATTCCCTAAAATAAATATTTGAAAAAAATTATCAAACTTAATGTCTCAAATAATTATTTTTATTTTCTTTTCACAATTGACACCAACCCATATGAACATGACTGCTAATGTTTGTTTTCATTTTTTTTAAAATTTTACATGTATTATCGTTTATTTTTATAATTTGAAACTAATTTTATTTGAAATATTATAACTGTTCCTTTCTAAATGTACATTTTTATATATTCAAATTTGATTATCTTTCATAAACATAAGAGTATTCTATTATTTATACCGCACTTATTTATTTGGGAATGTCTGATTTACCAAAATTTATAAATTTTTAAGTTTTATATTTTAAAATTTTTATACATAAAACTTTTTTTATAAAGAAAAAAATTAAATTTTAAATTTTTGAAAACATTTTTCTTTCACAAAAATGAAATATTTAAACTTTAAAATTTATCTTATTCAACAAATCTCTAAACTTTCATTGGCTGATATACAATCGTCTCTTTTATGTATTACTTATCAAGTTATATTATACAGTTTCTCAAATTTTTTTAATATATATTGATAGCTGGATTTCTTTATTAAAAAAAAAGACATTATTTTTAAAAGGCATCATGTTGAATTTAACGCAAAATAAAATGGCGTAACCTCCTGTCTCCATCTGTATATATACCAGTTTTTTTTTTTTTAACCAAACATTAAAATGGAATTTGGATTTAAAATTTATGCAATTCTAGATCTAATTCCAAATCCCATTCTTTTTTCTTACCAAAAATAAATCGAATGGGTGTTTAGTTAGTCAGAGTTGTTAAAATTTTAAATTTTTATCTTGAAATATGATTTTTATAAAGTTTAGTTGATTGAAAAGGTTTTAATTTTTTATTATCCTAAATAAATTGAATATAAATGTAGAAAATTTGAATATTGAAAAAAATAAAAAAAAAATGAAAGAGGCCTAAAAAATAATAAATCTAACTTTTAAAAAAGTTTTTTTTTTATTTTTCTTGAATTTTTAACCTTTTTATATTAAACCAAATTATGTTAAAACAAAATTTTTAACTTTTTTTATATTTCTTTTTTCTAGAAATGAAAATAAAAAAATATGTTTGGTTAATCTATTTTTAATAAATTAAAAAAGAAGGACTGATTGATTGAAATTAGGATTTTAGGATTTTTTATAAGAGTTTAGTTGAATAAATTAGAAATTCTAAAATTTAAAATAAAACTTAAAGAATTTAGGAATTATATTAAGTAATGGAGAAAAGATAAGGAATCAAGTAGCAATTTCACAAAATTGCTACAGTGTTATCCTCAATGTCCAAGCAGGTGATAATCAAGTCTAATAGACCCTTTTCATACCAAAATTTAATCTGTTGCTATTCCAAATTTTTTCAAAAACTTTTTACATGGTTTTACTTTATGTAATCAATTAATAAAACTCTCAAAGTAATTTGAAAAAATTGTAATTCTAAATGATGAATTTCAATGACATAGTGGTCCAACGAGCACAAGTCCAAACAATGAAAACATTGAAGAGTCCAAACAATAAATTTTGAGAAAGAAGAAAAAGGTGCTAGGAAGAAGACAACAAGTGGTTTGATGGACATAGAGCTCCATGGACAATATGTGAACAGAGCTCCATTGTTGAGCTTTGTTTATAGAGTTAGAGCTGACAAACAAGTTTTGCCCGAGGTGCTCTGTTCACAAAGCAAACAAACAAGTTCAACAAAGATAATGGACGAGCTCTCTTCAGTGTACTTTGTTTGCACTTCATCGGTCAACAGAGAGAAGCACAGGTTTTTTGGCGAAGAAGAGAAAAATGCGCAAGTGAATAGTAGCACGAAAATAAGACAAACAAAAAATACACTAAAAATTTATATAATTACAAGTATGTCTCTGCAAATTTTATTTCAGACAAAAAATACTGAAAACAACTTTCTATTGTTTTTACTTTTTAACTTTTTAGAAAATATTTTCAAAAAATAAAAATGAAAATGATTTACCAAATGTAGTTTTTATATCATTTTCTATTTTCATTGAAAATGAAAATAAAAAACAAGTAAACCAAACATACCCTAACTTTTTAGATATAACCAAATGACAAACTTAGGTACTGATCGAAAATAATAAGAAAAAATCATATGGTGCGGTGGTGATTGACTTGCTTAAAAATCCAAATGATTAGGCTCTTTAAGCTTTTTAATTTGGTATTCATGTTTGATTTTAATTTTTTTTTACCTTTACAAATATTTTTATTTATTTTATAATTTAAAAAAATATTATAAGTATTTATTTTTAAAAGTACTTTTTTATAAATTTGAATTTGATTCTCTCTTTTAAATATGAAAATATCTTCTTTTTATTTTTTTTTGGCTCATTCCTAGTGTCTGACTTCATAATTCCTCAACCCGCCCCCCGGGCCGGGGTGGGGTTGAGCATTTTCTTGGAGTTTTTTATTTTTGGGGCAGATTAGTTATTTCAATGTTCAAGAAAATAAATAAATCGAACTCCGAAGGACCCAAAATAGCCACGTGTCACAATTTGAGTGGTGCCCATCATTAGTTCCCTGGTAACTGAACGCACCTGATCCAGGGGAATCTTTGGCGCCAATAGCATGTTCAGCTAACAGAGAGCCAAATTCTTATCCACGGAATTTCGCGCGCTCTCTGAACCAGAGAGCTCCCATTTCGACGCGCACGTTGAACACGTTGAAATGCGTAAAATCACCGGAACTAACCAAAAGTTCCACGTCACCAAACGGAAACCTTCAAATGCCGATTAATGCCATCGTCGGTGTCCCTTTGTCAAGCCTGCGGACGTAAACTACTCATCATAGTCAACTGGTACGGTTTCTACGCCGCCCCGTCACATCACCGTTTAGTCCCCCTAAACTCGGATAATCATAATAACAATCTCCAACTATTCAGGAATTCTATATTTGTTCCTTCATATTTTAGATTTTTTGGCATGGCTCCAAACTAACCAAATTGAATCAATGTCTACAAACTAATCAAATAAAGTTTGAGATTTAATTATCTCCTAATTTTCATCAATTATATAAATATAAGTGAAGTAGGTTAATTTTCTTATTAATATGGATAAATCACAGGCCACGTGGGCAATTATAGGCTTTTCTCCCCTAAATTTGCGTTGATCTTGACTAGAGTCCTTATATCATTCAATTTAATTGGGACCAAATTAGAAGTAATCATTATCGAGGGATGTCGTTGTAATTTTACCCCAAAGCTCCGTCATCTCTTTCTCGCTCCCTGACGCTGTAGCTCTCTCTCTCTCTCTCTCTCTCTCTCTGGGGTGTCCTTCCAGGAACTGTCTCTGTGATTAATCGGTTCAAGTTCCATGGCTTGATCCTAACCCGTCTCTTTCTGTGTATATATGCCGAAGTAGATACATATATATAGGTAGAACGACCAGAAATGGATCATGAGGGTTCGTTCAATTTCATGGACGTTGTGAAGAGGCCGGAGATCGTGGAGACTTTAGTCGACATATTGGTATGCGCAGTCCCGATTTGGCTCGCGGTTATGATAGGGCTCGTGATCGGTTGGTCCTGGCGGCCCCGCTGGAGTGGGCTAATTTATCTCGGGTTCAGGTCTAAGCTCCGGTTCGTCTGGACTGCCCCGCCGGGGTTCGGAGCTCGGCGCCTCTGGCTTGCCTTGACGGCGATCTCGGCGTTCTCGGTTGGTCGGAGGCTCTGGTCCAGGTTCAGGGGGAAGGGTAAAGATTCATCTGTCACCGCGGCGATGTCGACTCCGGAGGGGCCTCCGTCGCCGGATGTTTCGGTGGGTGGAAATGACGCAGAGATTAGGTAAGTTAGTTTCTGATTTCTTTTTTTTTTTTTTTTTTTTTTGTAAATTCTCTTTTTTCAATGTGGCTAATGGATGCGAAATTTGCGGATCTTGGTATGTAATTCTTAGGGTTTGTTCATAAAGCTATTTTTAGATTGTATGAATTCTGATGTTTGGAATGAGTAATTGAGAACTACTTGGTTCTTTTCAGTTTCCACATAGTTTAGAAGAAAGTGGAACTTGAATACTGTTGTGCGAATGCAACATAAACTTGCGTAATAGTCTGACCTTATACAAAAATGTTCTTGACGTAATGGGGAATTTTGGATAATGCATCATCTGAGAAATCAAAATGTGAGTTGTTAATTGCTCATGGCTTTTACATGCCGTTGGCTCTGTTGCTTGTTTATATGACAAATGATGTGAGAAATTGATTCTTGATGATGTTGGCAACATATTTAGTTGGCATGGTCAGAACCTGGCTTGCTGTTACACTATGGTGCTACTCATGTTACCAAATGTAAGCTTTAAGTGTGGGGTTGTTCTGATAACTTGCTGGGCTTTTGTCAGCAACCGTGAGGAATTTATATTTCCAACAATATGGCATACTAGAAATAGTAATAGCTGCTATTAATTTTGAGGAAATTGATGGTTGTCAACCAGAAATAAACTGTATCATGTTTTTTGTAAAACTATTCGAGTAATGAAGCATTTTGTTTTCTTTTGTGTTTAGATCAATTCAATTCAGTACTGGTTTCTCAAATTAATTTTCCATCTCCCAGTATTAGATGCATTCAAACTCTCAAAATAAGGACAATTTGTATACCTTGATCTTCTGAGAAAGTCTTCAATATAGGAAAACAAATGTTAGATGATAAGTTTGGGATGGAGGGAAAAATTGTACCGTAAAATTGATGGGTTTTGCTTTCACTTCATTCAGATGCAGATATATTCTCCCTTGCGAGTATTAATCAAAACTAAGGTGAGGGTTTAGCCACTAGAAGCTCTGGTTTTAGGCTATAAATTGAAATGTGGCTATGAATTTTGGAAGTTGAAGTGTTGCATTTATATGTAAATTAAGGAGCAATTACATGTGGAAGTGTGTTGGAGATACATGTTTACATGTGGAATTCGAATTTAGGACCATGGAGCCTCTACCATAGCTTTTTTCTTGAATAATTCACTCTGTGGCAATTAGAGTCATTCCCAAATATTCAAGCATATTGTGTTTAATATATTGTGATATATTCCATTCAAATTGCCAATCAGGCCATTGGTCAGTGTCACAGATTCTACATCGGACACGGTGAAGGAGGGATGGAGGGATACTGGGTTATAAGAGGGGGCCACTAATAGGTGCATTTTTTGGGGAGAGGGGAGTGACCCCTTGACAAGTCGTATGAGAGCTTGGGGGACCAGTAATGATGATTGTTATAGTTTGAGCAGCAGAAAATAGGATAATAACAGTTGGCATTAAATTTTTTTAGTGCAAGCACTTGTTCATAATTCTTTACTTTGTTAATTGCTTATGTTTACTTCTGTTTTTTGGTTAAATGAAACTGAAAACAATTAAAGTTTAGTCATTTTGTATCAAGTGCTTTTGTTATGAAGTTGAGGACCTTGTCTTGTAGGATATGTCATGGTACATTGATGTTAATTTTCGCTTCACAGGCCGAGCCTTGGAACTTCTCAACTGGAGGATGTCGTCACAGAGAATGATCTTGAACACCTATTGCATCTTCTTGAAAGCAAGGGAGGGGAAATGGATTGGCGAAATATGATGGAACGCTCTGCCTCAAACATGACCTACCAAGCTTGGCGCCATGAGCCTGAGGTACAGTTGACCTTGAGTTTTGAAGATGTGCAAACCGTATGCTGGAAGATGGAAATAAAATATGGAAATTACTTTTCATGAAGTCTGACCTTGTAACTGCATTTTCCTATCTTTGAAACTCTGGAAGTAGTCTGTATAGTCTTGTTTCTTTTTGTTTTTATTTTTGTTCTTATTCTTGCTCATATATATATATATATATATATATATATATCCATTAAATTCAGAAGATTAAAATGGATCATCTCCATGAGGAGCTACCACTTGAGCAATTCTAAAAACACCATTGTAATTATCCTTTAGATTGGGAAGTGGAAACTCTAATTCTGTAGTTGTCTTTTCAAGGAAGCAGAACACCCATGTTGGACATGATGGCTTGGTCATGAATATAGGATATTTGTGCTGTGAATGGGTACACTGATTTCTCTCTGTAGAGAGCCAACAGGAACAACTTCATTTCGAAGGCCTATTTATAAAGCTGAATATCAAATTCTGAAACTTTAAGCACTACATTTTTTGATATTGAAATAGTAATGCAGTCAGTTTTTTACAATTTAAAAATATATGTAATACCTTGGAATGGAAATGAAAACTATCAATTATGAATTATGTTCATCATTTGGCAATAAATCACACCTGTTTCAATTCAAATTCCAACCCATTTTCATTCAAAGTTTCTGATTTTAGTAATTGGATTTTGATTGAACATTATCAATAAACAGTTAATTCTATAATATCTGAATTCTGAAGAAGTTCTGTTTTGAGTGGTTAATTGTTCCATCAAGCAAGCCCCATGTCCTACCAATTTTAGGCAGATTGCTGGACTCATTCCTGTAGGTTACTGCTTATAATTGTTGTGCAGCTAAGTTGTCACAAGTTTCAATGATGCCCGATAACTTCGTTTATTTTATCCATATTGTATTCTGAAATTTTTAAACTCTATTGACTTAGTATATAGCACTTCAAATTTTTAACATTTTGCTTATCTATTCTTATTGCTGTTGTAGTGCTGGTAGAGGATTTTGAGTCGTCCTTCCAATCTTATTTAAAAACTTTATCCTTCAAAACCTTAATTGTATATTATCTATCTATCAGACAGGGCCAGTGGCATACCAAAGCAGAACTGTCTTTGAGGATGCAACACCAGAGATGGTGAGAGATTTCTTCTGGGATGATGAATTTCGCCCTAAATGGGACCCTATGCTTGTGTACTTCAAAATATTGGAGGAATGTTCTCATACGGGAACAATGATTGTCCATTGGGTCAAAAAGGTAAACCTGAGTATATGATCCAGTATAAGTGAACTTTGTTCTGAAGCTCTTGTTCCAGCAGTGTATTCTTTATTAACTGATTTTTTTCCTTTTATGCAGTTCCCTTTTTTCTGCAGTGATCGTGAATATATCATTGGTCGGAGGATATTTGAAGCTGGAAAGATGTATTATTGTGTGACAAAGGTTCTAATTTCATAACTATATACTCTGAATTGCATAAAACACTGCTCTATTCTAAGCAATGTTGCAGTAGTTTCCTTGACTTCAAATGGAGGATGGATATCTCAATGGTGCTACAGGTTTGACTAAGTTGGCTTATATAAATGTTTTAATTATGGTGAATTATAGGAACTTGAAAATTTCTAAAACTTGTGTACAATATATTCATAACTACAAGCAGGCTGCATAAGGCAGATTGATCTGATCAGGAGAAGTCTGAGTTATCTTTTGCTGCTTTTCCTTCTGTGCTAGGCTAAGGTCTGGAGACTGGAATAACCTGCTATCCATTTCTATGAAGTGCATATCATTTTGTAGCCCATATAATTGCGAGTTGCACTGATCCATGGACCACTTTTGTCCTTCAGTATCTGTAATGGAGTACAATTGTCACTCATCCAGTACAACAACATAAATTTGGTTACCGTCAACAGAGGATTACAAGCCATTAAACTGTATCACCTGGCTGCAACTCAGGCGGTTCGTGCATGGAAAACCTGATAAAATGTGGAGCTAGGATTGAATTTTCTCATCAGCAAGCTTAGAATTGTATGGGGCTGGCAGCCCAAGGCCAACCAAGTCTATCTTGTCACATCAATATACGTATTATGAAATGGTGATCCAGTGCATGAGGTTTTCCCATTTTCAGGTTTGCAGAGGGTCCAATATGCATAGCTTTACTCAAAGTAGGGGTTGTTCCCCCTTGATTTGACCCTTTGAAGTTTAAGTCACAATGACCCAAATTCGGGGCTTATGATTGGCACTAGGGGTGGAATTACCAACCCTAGTATGCCTCAGAAAACACTACAGAACTAGTGAAGTGCAGGACTCTCAAAAATATTTTAGCGGACAGAAAATAGGACGTAAGCCAATTCTGATAACTTGTCAACAACATTCCTATCTTATTCAACATCAACGGCAGGCATCATATAAGATTTCCTCATACAGAAACTAGTATACATATCAAGGTCACTTTCACACTTAACAGATACAAATCAAGACCAATTTCACACTTCTTAACACATACAAATCAAGATCACTTTCACACTTCTTAGCATAGAAGGGCCTGTTTGAGGCTAATGGAGTAAACTCTAAAATATTAGTCCATAACATATACAGTAGGTTTGAAATATCCAAAAGTCTCAAAGACCACCAACACAAAGGTAGCCCATATATCTTGTCCAGCTCGCCACAGAATTACTCCTCTCAAATCAGTCAGCCAGGCTGGAAGGATTATCAGCACTAGGATCTAAAATGTTAAGAGATGAGTGAGTTTGAAAACTCAGTAAGTAATTATACACATTCTAGACATGTTGGGACAAGCATCTTGATAAAACTTTTTTCAGAAAATTTTTGTACAATTCAGAATCACAGGTTTCAAAACAACTCAGATATTATAATATAAGTCATTTACTCGCAACAGAAATTTCATAAATAGTATAACTTGTTTAACCAAGATAGAGATTTCGGAACAGTTTCATAATCAGAGATAGTATGGGAGTACCACAATCATATCATATCACAATCACTGAATCAGAATCCTCCAATAAAGAATCACAATCCTCCCTCAGAGCCAGATAATCACAATCCCTCCAACATGAGCAGAACTTATTTGTACATGTGGACCAAACACGATTAGCTAGCATCTCCCCTGCTAGCTAGGGTCTTGATTGATATGCACCAACCCTAGCATCTCCCCTGCTAGGTAGGGTCCTGATTGAGGTGTGCTAAGGCACACCAAGCCTAGCATCTCCCTTGCTAGGTAGAGTCAGAGTATAAAATCTCCCACCACACTATCATTCAGAGCAGAGTCAGATCAGATGAATGTACATAATTAGATTTTCTTTTCAAGCGAGCAACATATGCATTTTTCAAATTAGTTAATCAATGTCATAAAAACAGTGGTACAGTTCTGAGAGAAAAGGTCACTTCAAATTTAATATAGAAAACATAGTTTGTGAATACTTGTCCAAGTTTTTTAGTTCATAAAATCATTAGATCATTTTAATAGATTTATATCAAATCTTTCATTGAAGCACATCCAATCATATAGAATCAAATAACATAGTGGTACATATGAAAACAGATAAGCATGTACTTTGTCTAGAATATTTTAACAAAACACATATTCAAGATAAGTATTATCACTCAAGTACACTGGTAAACAGAGAGCAATAAGAGGTTATGTTACAGCACAGCCCTCAACACCCAGATGCGAACCTTCCAGGGAACCTATACACTCAGAAACATATAATTAGAATTGCCAACAGAGTTTCCATGTCAAGACCTTAAGCCCACACTAGCAGAGATGTTGAACTAAGTATAAACAGAGGTATTAATGTATAAGTGGGCTGTCTGGGTAAATCCCGTAAGGTTACACTATGAACTGGCAATGGCTATGTCGTCTCAGTACCCGGGGTAATCTGTAGACTAATTATGTAATACCGAATAGAGAGGTTATTGCATGCCCTATATGCAGGTTATCTTATATGGTTACTCAATATGACATTAGGACTGACCTGCAAGATCTCAAGCGAGGTAATCTCATGCTTGGAATGAAAGTTATACAACAACCCAAAACAATTATTTCTCAAATAATCAAAGACTAAATTTCCAGCATACCCTCACAGCACCTTGCATATTTAGGTGCTCTAATCCCTATTCATTTTAATAATAAATTCTCTCAACCGTTTATACAAATTAGATCACTTCACATGATCAATATGATTCCGAAATTCTAGAAGTAAAAAGGGTTGCAGATTGATATAGTTTTTGGTATGGGGATCTTCCTTAAGCATTAAGAGTTAGCCAAAATTACTCCTTGGCCCCTCCACTTCCTTATTTCTTACTAAAGCCTTAGACCAAAGTTTTGCTCTTTCCATGTCCTTAACCTTTTAATTGTTTCAATTCGGTCCCTAAAACATGATTCACCTCGAATGATTTCTCAAGGATCATATCTGCAGGTGGGGTCTTATAGTCAATATATATACAAGTTGGATTGTTTACAATCTATGTTGTATTTCATTTGCTGGAAAAAAGGAATTCTTTACACTCTTTATTTTTGACTTAGCCAAGAGGTGGTGGGTCTAATTGGGTTCAAATCCAGTAGTAACAACAATTCTCTCTCCCTCTGTGTGTGTATGTGAAAGTCAGTATTCTAATGTCATTCTCAATCACGTGATCTCACTCTTTAGGCCTCTCCAATGCGCGCGCACGCATGTGTAGAAATACAAGTCAGTATTCTGGATTGCTAATGTCATTCTCAGTCATGTGATCTCACTCTTTTCGCCTCACCAATCCACCAAGATCATTTTTTATGTCACATCTTTTTGGCACCATTTATATTATGCAATAAAAATGCTTTATAGCATCCTCTCAACACAGTTTTACCCTAGAAGACGGCAGAAATATATTAAAGAGTTTTGATCTTTGTGATGCAACATGGAAATTAGATTAGGTACCAAAACCAACACTCCTACCAAAGTGCAGATAACATAGATATATCTGTGTATTTGTCTTTTTGTAAATAAGAAATCTTGATGTTGTGATGGGTATTTTGACCTAATTTGCATGTATAGTTTAAAATTTTGTCTACATTTATTCAAATCTGAATTCTATTTACTTCTTAGATCTGAGATTCTTACTTGTACTGGTACTGGTCCTGGTACTTTGTATATGGTTTCGTCATCAATTGGAACTTGATGTTTATTACTGTGAAATTAAGAGAAAATCCCCGTCAGTTTGCCACTAGGATAAATAGATTCTCAAGATGTAACGAGTAATCATGTGGACATTTGATGACACAGGAATGGTTAGATATTCATCTAAAAAGTGCGTTCAATACTATTAACTTAACCAGAAAACTACATGTAGAACTTTCACATTATTCATTATATCCTCTGAGACCTTATAATGACCATTTTATCCCAAAATAAGGAATGATATTAGAAATATAGATATTTTTCATTCCCATCTTCCAGGAAATGTGAGTAGGTAAGCCCAGTCCTTGGACAGACACATTGCTGCACCAGCACCTGCCCCTCATGCTAAGCCAATGGAACATAGTTTGAGGATATAGCAAACAAGATTTAATTCCAACTACTTTCTACTTGGATGATACAGACCCAGTCTTCTATTGGCTCTTTGCTGTTTCATCACAGGATTTTTGTTCTGTTATGGTTAATATTTTATAGTCAATTTTGAGTACAAAAATAGACCTTTACACTGCTTGGATGCAGATTTTTGAGTGAAAGGAGAAAGAAAAGAGAAGGACTGTTTTGTTTTTACAATTCTGCATGCTAAGCATACAAAATTTTTACTGTTTCATTAAGACTTGTGTTTATCATCAACTTTTGATATTAAACCACCAGAAAACAGTTAGATATTTGATTTTTTTAGTTTGAATTTCAGTTTCTGCAATTTTTTCCACTTACAAATATAACGAGCCAGGAATTAGGTCTGATCTCAGCCCCTCCTGGCACTTTGGATTGACAGTGTCGGTTTTGATTTAAGAATCTCTAAAGGCCATCTTTATCTTTTCAGGAGAGCAGTTCTAGTGTGTGGATGGATATGTTGATTTTGATTTGTAGTTTGTCAGTCCATGCAAGTAGGGGTTTTCATTTTAATTAAGAGCTAGAAATGTGTTATAATTGAGGCCCAAAGTATTTATGCTTTGTCAAGGAGGCAGACCAGCCTTCTTGTTGAATTAACAGCATTTAGACTCGTTACTTATATTGTATATCCTACTTAAATATGTTCCTTGCATTACATGTGTTTTTATTTTTGAGGAAGTCTATCCTACTATTAAGAATGCATATCAACATTTCTTTGAATATCTTGCTTGCATGGTTTTATGCATATCCACCATAGGTGTATATTCCATCTCTTTTAATATGCAGTTTTTACTATTGCAGGCGGTGCCATATCCAGCTTTGATGAGGTGTGATAAGCCCCGGCGAGTGGATCTTTATTTCTCAAGCTGGATTATCAAGCCCGGTAATCATCATCAAATACTCATGCAATTTACTATAGCTTTATGGTAGTCTCTGACTCCATGGGATTGTTTGGTGACACTCTGAAAGCAGCAACTTTGATATATTTCTTTTAGCACTGTTTTCAGGGCTTTTAGGGAAACCCTGAATCATTTCAACAAAAAAGCCTCAAATCAACCATTAACATCCAAAAGCTTCTTTATTATAGGAATTGAAGGAAATCAAACATCCTAACTTTAGGCTGTTATCCTTTAACAATGGGGAAAAAAAACTATGTATTGAAAAAAAAAATGAAAAAAAGATTTACACTTACAGAAAAATAATCCCTTTATCAAAATCCAAGTTTTATCTTTACTTTTGCATATCCCATGCAGTGCAATCGCGTAAAGGAGATGGACAGTTATCTGCTTGTGAGGTAACTCTTGTTCACTATGAGGACATGGGAATCCCCAAGGATGTGGCGAAGTTGGGAGTCCGTCATGGATGTGGGGGACTGTAAAAAGGTTGCACACAGGCTTTAGAGCGTATCAGCAGGCAAGGAGATCAGAGGCACCGCTGTCTAGGTGTGCACTGATGGCCAGAATTACTACTAAGATTTCATGTGAAGAAAATGATGAATCTTTGGCCTCTTCTGGTGAAAGGAAAGATCAAACAGTGACTGTCCAAAGACATGGAAATGGTGGTGGCATCGATTGGAAATGGGTAGTCATTGGTGGTGCAGTGGCCGTGGCTTGTGGACTTCATAAAGAAGCCATAGGAAAGGCCTTGATACTTGGGGCAGGCCGAAGAATTGCTGGAAGGTGAGACTCAAGGGAAGAGTTTTACCTTCTTTAGCTTTTTGAGGATATGCAATAACTCTTTTTTGCACATTAGTGCTTCAATTTGTCATAGATCAATTGACTGATCATCATTTCCTAATATTGTTTTCGCTCTCCGACGGGTTCACGTTGAGACTGGGGATATCACAATTGTTTGTTGAAACCAATACGAGTCCCAAATTCATTACATGTAACTTTAGCATTGCACCATGAGAAGCATGTTACTTTTTCAAGTATTTTACACTGGGGGAAACTGTTTGGGGGCTGATTTCGTCAAGGACTGGCAAGCAATTTAGGCTGTCTGGTCAAACATTTATGTTTTCCCTCGCTGCTTCTTTTAAATGGAAACCAATGATCCTGCGTTCGCCTGGTTTAACCAAGAAATTGTTCATGGTATCAAATTTGGGGCCAGCCTGCTAGGGATGTGCGGGTGCACTGATTTTCTCATTTACGTTATTTGCTCATTTGTTTAGAGGGGTTAAGGTGGTGTTTGCTTCGTGTATTTTTTTGATTTTAAATTTTTCTTTGTGACAAAAAGTTTAGCTTTTTTGTAATTTAGATAATGTTAAAAATAGGGTTTTGTGAATTTTAGGAACTTTATGAAATTTTGAAAAGCGTGTTTCCGTGGGCCTTGGGCCTTGCTTGGTTTCCTGGGACGGAATACTTCACTTAGAGAATTTTTTAGAATTTTGTTAAAATAACACTTCAAAAACTTCAACCAAATATCAGAAACAACACGGTGAAGCAAGTTTCTAATTAAACCCTTACTCTATGTATGGTACACATATTTACACATTATATATATATTTAGATATATATGGTTTTATTAAGAGATAAATGTTGAATGTTTTTGATAAGATTGTTTATTTAATATCATCCAGTAATATGCCTTTTCCGATTTTTGTTCAGTCGGACTTTGGTTAATTTTAGTCAGCTAATATATTGAGTAATTAAATATTTTCATTTCAAGATTTGATTTAGAACTATAGATTATTCTTTTAGACGGTTACATTCAGATATTTGAAACAACTTTTCTTTTCATGTCTTTGAATCGTAAAAGAAATAACTAATACTCATTTCAATTTCATGTTCTCCCTGAATTTTATTCACTTGAAGAGGTGGGTATTTGATTTAGAAAATATAATTTCTTTTTGGTTAAACAATGCAATTTTATTTATCATCTACTCTTTTTCTTATTCTTTAGATCGAAAATACAACATAAATGAATATATTCATCTTCTCCTAACACGCCGTCTGAGTGTCCAAGTCTTGGCTGTTTGAGGTATGTATCTTGAAGTATGCCAAAGTTTACAAATCCTAGAATCACTACTTCAGGTTTCAAGAACGATCAAATCATCAAACACATTTTCCGAATCAAACCTAAACTCCCAGATTCCTAGCAAAAATCATTTCAAGAATAAGATAAAATCACAGTGTAGTGCAGTCTTCAGCTACCTTCAGCCTATTCCAATGGCCTTTCTATATAAAAGCAGCGGTCTAAAAAGGCAAGCTTAAATTTACTCTTTAGAAGGGTTGATCAAGAAACAAAATCAGATTCGATCCCATAACTTCAACCTTTGATGTAGGAGAATCTCATTTCCTCTCTACAATTAAGAAAGAGGAGAAGATGGTGGTTTTGCCTAGACCATCCAACAACAACGTTTGGTTTAGCCTGCCCATCCAAAATCTTCATTTTCCTAGTGAGATAGGTATACTTCATGGGGCTATATACAGGGGATCATTGCGCTCCTGTATTAAAACAAACCCTAATGAGTAGGGGTGTTCATCAAATTAAATTAAACCAAACCAATTAAATCGAATAAACCAAATCAAACTACGATTTGGTTTGATTTTATTTAACTCATGGTTTGGTTTGGTTCGGTTTAAGTAAGATCATTTATTTGCGATTTGGTTTCCGGTTTAACCATTAAACTAAAACGCATAAACAGAACCAAATCATAAATATGATATATATAGTAAAGAGTGAACTGGCTAGATTACCCTAACCCTAAACCTAACACCTGCTCCCTTCTCTTCTCTCAGCTTTGTGGTTGCTTTCTTTTCCTTCGCATAGTCGCAACTCTGATCTCGCTCACAAAGCCATCTTCCTTCAATTTCGTTGTCAATTTCTTCATCTCAAAGCCTTATTCCTTCGATTTCGTTCTCCATTCTTCATCTTCTCTCTCATCTTCTTCGATCTTGGCCACTCCTTTCTGCTCTCTCCCTTTGCAACTTCATCTTCTCTTTCGTGTAGCTTCAATTTTGTTCTCCAAACTACCACGATGTATGACAGTGATGACTCCTGCATCTACAGCCACTATCTCCCCCAAGAGGATGTCATAGGAGCAAATCCTTCCTAGAGTTCCCCTGACCTAGTATAGACAAGTTCATCCTTGGGAATTTTTTTTAGAGTTTCTTATTATTTTTTAAGTTTATTAAATATGGTGTTTTCCTTTGAATCTGCTTCTCGTGCAAGAACTTCAAATATTCATCTGTTTAGATGAAGCGAATGGTTTAGCTATTGTAATTCTGAAATTGTGCTTAAAATTCTTGAAATTCCTTTGGCTTGATGCATCTTGAGGGCTTGGAAGCATTAGTAAATCCTTACCCTTATTTAGAGATAAGTTTAATGCAAATGTGTCACGCCCCAATCCGGGGGTGTGACCAGCACTAGGGTCAGCTTACCAACCCCAGTCAGCCCACAACCAGGTTGAAATAGAAAAGCATCACAGCAGTACAACATCGAAATGCAAGTGTATATATATACACGTCAAAAGTGTTTGAGGGATACAAGGAGCCACTAAAGTACAAATAACAGAAATGATACAAAAGTGCTCGTACATCACAGTGAAGCAACGGAGGATGAAATCGACCTAGAAGCTACCGCTGCGATCAAAACAGCAATCTGAAAGGGGGAGCAAAGGAATGAGTATAAAACTCAGTGAATAACAGTAAAATCTAGACAAGAGGGGACATGGATCACGGTTTAAGAAATACACATATGTTCGCATAACACCAACAGGTATATGTATATATGCATGTCGTTCACACACAAAAATCAGAAACAGAATGTCAAACACCTGTCAGAGTATCGGATCTCATCAGAAATCATATCATACCGGGATCCTGTATCAGAACTAGAGCCAGAAATCACAGATGGCACATAGTGTCGGAACACCCCCGTGTTCCTAAGAAATTGGATCACAAAAACTCTCGATAGGTAACTTTTAAAACACATGCATGACTAAAGCACACAAATGTATAAGTACAGAAATATTTCCAAAAACTCATAATTTAAAACATATAGATACATGTCCCGAATTCGAATATCAGAAATCAAAAATCAAGTCCAAGAATCAGAATCCAAGAATTTGTCAGAAAATCGAAATACGGATGCATGTATAGAAAATACTGTCACTCACCTGGCATGCTAAATGAGGCACCAAAACTTGTGCTGACGGCTCACTACTCAATGTGTGCCTCCTCCGGAGTATCTACAATCACCAAATCGAAAGTCAAAATCGAAATCGGGTCTTACTCTAAAAGACTCAACTCTCGAAAGTGGGCCAGGACCTCCCCGTCACCAGGCCCTTTTACACGTATCCCGAGACCCCTAGGCCTTATACCCAAACCACTCTAGGCTTGAACTACTAAAACCTGAATTAAACGCAGCCAAACTCCACCAAATCGGGTTGAACCGAGCCCATTTCCCATGAACTAAGCCGAACCGGGCTCAAATCCACAAAATAGGGTGAACCAAGTTTTCTCCCTCTTAACCCATGAAGAACCGGCCTTTAACTACCAAGACTCGGACTGAACCGGCCTAGACCCCCGAGAAAATCCACTGAACCGGGGCCCTAAACCCCTGAACCGGTCTAAAAACAATAAAAACCGATCGATTTAACACTTTTCCCCAAAAATTCCCTTAAAACTAGATGAACCGGGCCGGTTTACCACCTAAAACCGGCCCAGGCACACTCCCCAAGGTTCCTCGGGTCGGGAACCGGCCTTAACTCCTTGGTCCAGGCCGGTTTGAGACCTGAACCGGCCCGGTCAAAGCAGACTGGGCCAAACCGGCCCAGTCAACACTGGACAAACCCAGAAAATTCCCAGGTCTGTCTTCCTCGCCCGAGACCTGGGTTGCAAACCTGGGTCTATGACAGACCCGAAGGCCCCAAACCCCCTTAAAAGCCCCGAAAACTTACCTCAACCAAGCTGAAGTCTCCCAACAGGATTTTCGAAGCTTGTAAACCTCATAGACACGATTAATCGGAACAAAAAATTCAACTAAAACAAGATTTCTCCCGTTGGCTCACCCGTGGACACCGCAACCCTTCCAAAACAATTTCTCCCTCTATTCTCGAATTTTTCTTGCTTAATCTGTATACCCAGCTTCGCTTTTGTCTTATAGATAAAGTTACAAGGTTACTTTTGTGTTGTTTCAATCCTATTGGAGCAAAATTCATTCGGGTTGTTCGATCGGTTTCTGGGTTCTTCGGCTTTTTTTTTTTTTATAATTAACCGGGTTATTACAAAATGCCTGATGTGAACCTTCAGTAACTTAAAAATTATTAAGCATGTAGAATCTGTATCATCAAAAGGAACCAAAGACTAGGAAACTCTGACTTTTTTACAATTACTTCCTTTCTGATTTATTTGTTTTGGAAATTTTGGGTTATCAAACAAAACTCCAAATTCATTATCAGCAACTAATTTGTCATGTTTTAAACTATAGTTAATTAGTCCTTCCCATAAATTCACAGTATGGCCCAAAAGTTTAATGCCACCATAATTATTGAAACATTGAACACCTCTTTTATATCCTTACACATAAGTACTAGAATACTTCTCTCCTAGATCCATAAAGCATTTGTTTCGTAATTAAAATTTTACAAAGAAGTCTTTGTTAACCAATTTATGCCTATATGTTGCTTCTTCCTTTGATTCAAACTTCCTATATTTAAAGATAGCTTCACATGATAGCAT